CCATTGCTGCCCACAGCAGGAGAAAATAACTGCTTTGAATGCTCTGTCTGCCCTGCTGGGGAGTCATGTCCTGGGATCAGTGCAGAAAGAGAACTGGAAGGGGAGCATGGGCCTCGAGCCCGCTGTGAATCTGGAATAAAAAGTTACCAGTTTTGCTTTTGAGAGTGGAATAGGCTATTTGAAAGTTGGAACAAATTGTACATCCTTCTCTTGAAGGAGAGAGCAGAAAGAAAGGAATTGAAAGATCCTGAAGATGCGCTGGAGGGAGTCCATCAGGGCTGCTATGTCCTGCCATTGCGGGCTTTGGCTGGACTAAAAGCAAGACCTTTCTCTGCTATGAACTGAGTTAACGTCACTGGGAAGAAGCAGGGGACACAAATCACTTGTGAGGGGATTTGTGGAGGATCATCCCATGCATGCTGTTTGTTCCTGGGTTCAGCATGTCAGAGACCCCTGGCTGGGGAAGGAATGGTGCTGGTGGGGTATCTTTGAGTACCATGTTCAGCCTTGGAGACTTGTGGGGGCTTCTTCCCTTGTGTCTCCAGGCAATTCATTTACCGTAAGAGCAACAAGTTTTGCTTCCCTATCTCATGCTTGGGTAGAGGCTAGACTGAAGAATCTACCAAATGTCCAACGTCGGGAAGTTAGCAGCAGGTTGGCTGTTTGGATCCTTGTGGGATGAGATTCCTGAGCACCAGCAGATCTGCCAAGCGGGCTCCTAGCAGAGGCATCATCACCTCTCTCGTGTAGCTACTTCTTTAGGAAAAGACGTTTGCTTCTGCCCGTGTCCTGGAGAATCTTTTCGCTTAGGAGGACACAAGTCCTGCCTATATTGTAGGGCCAAGAGGTATTTGAGCACCACCAGTTTGTTTTATGCTCAGGACATAACAGCGTAAGCAGTATTAGACACGAGCCCAGGCTTCACACACTGAAGTGGTCCATTAGGCAGCCTTTGTAGCAATTCAGCATTGTTCTTTGTCTCCTTTGTATAATTTCACTGTTTAAGGGCACACTGAAGAAAATCTCATTGCAAATCTAATTGTGTATCTGACCGCCTGTGTAAACTGTGACTTTGGCCTCTTCTGTCAAACTTCAATACAGTGTCTGAAGTGTGGAGCATAATCGCAGCAGCTTCCAAGCCCTAAGAAATCCCAAAGCAGCTCCCTTAAGAGCTACAGGCTCTTAATGGGACCATCAGTAGCTCTGAGTTCATCAGCGAAGACAATTTAGCCATTGTAAAAAGAAAGTAGCAATTAACTTTTGAGTTCAAGGGGCTCTTTAAAACAGAAAAAAAAATTCCACACCAGTAGACCAGTAGAATCTTTCTACATGTTACCTTCATTTGCTTCATCACAAACATCTGAGCAATGAATTCTGGACTTGTGTTAAAGTGTAACTGCCTGCCTGAGTTAATATTTGATGCAGCCATTCCTGAATCTTGTAAATATTTTTTCTGTAGCTAAGAATTGGAGTAGAAAGAGGAAATTTCATTTTGTAGCTGAACCAGAGACTGCTGGTTTAAATTTCCATTATATTGTGCCAGCATTCAGAGAGCCATCTGTGCTTTTTCTTTGGAGTCTAACGAACGTAGGAATAATTTAAATTATAAGCAAAAAAAAACCCCAAACCCTCTGGTACTCAGAGCTAGCTTTGCTTTCCACAGACCACATACAGAACAAGAACGAGTACAAGTGGTCATAGACATGCACTGGGCACAGAGAGATCCTGGTGGAGGCATGAGTAGAAGATGCTCCCCTTTTGCACAAAAAGGATCCCCATGGCCAGCAACGGAGGGGAGCAAAGACCTGCCGAGCCTGGACAGATGGGCACCTTACAAGCATACTGTTGTTTTGAAATATTTATTCTCTTTCTCTGTCTAGGGTGCTGCGTGCTCGTGCTTGAATCAGTAAGTCTCTTCCGGAAGTACATCTCCGTCCTGGATGTACCTGTTTCCTGCCTCCTGCCCAGAGATGCCCTCTTCATACTCACAGAGGAGGAGACGGAACAAGCCCGGGTGAGATGTGTGGTACCCGTTTAACCTGTTTGAGTAGCTCGTCATCATTGTGAAGACTTTAGTCATAAGTGTCTTATTCACAGAGAACGTAATAAATAATTATATACAAGGATTATAAAGGTCACTAATGGACGATCTTCAGTGATTCATAAAACATGAATGGACAAGACAGGTTGCTTCCTGTGCTGTGTGGATAGCAGGACAGGAATGAGCAGATTTGCAGCTCAGAGATCTTGAGTAGTCACAGCGCACTGAGTTTTACACTGCATCCAGGATGTAGGATGTGTATCAAAGGAGTCTGGATCCAACATAATATTCTGAACATGTGAGTGGCCTTTCAAAGAATGGCATGACTGCATGCTGGGAACAGCGTCTTTGGATCATAGCTCCGGCTAAAGATGGAGACAGCTTCTGAACTCGTGGCCCAAAGCTCTTCATGAGTTCCCTTCTCTGCTGTGGATTTTTTGAATATTTTGCTGTGTGAGATCTCATACATTTAGTCCACAGTTCCGTATATAAGAATCTGATTTGCTCCCCTTCCATAGCATGCAAATATTTGCGCAGCAGACAGTCCTGTTAATCCACAAATTACAGAACTTTCCTGCTTTTGAGGCTGCTAAAAGATAGAGTTACCCATGGAAACTGCTCTGATAAAGGTGGTGTTATTCCCTTGTGGTTTTTTGTTTCTGAAACCTGACCTTTCTAAGCTGCTGCACTATAAATAGATTAAGTTTCAGCTGGCAATGTGTGATCGGAAGCAGCTTGCACAGCGTTCTCAGATGCACACCTATCAGGTTCCTGCTTCCCCAGCATGTGAAACACCCAGGCGTGAGATCACCTAGGGAGGAGGAGTTACATGTGACAAAGAAACTGTCACAGCACCAGTCTGCAGCTGAGAATGTCCTTTCCAGCAGGACCCCTCTGAACGTTAGGCAGCACACCACCAGCAACGTGGGGGCAGACAAGCCTCGCCCTGCCCTTTGCCCCATAGAGTAGGCAGCCTTCTATCTCCCACTGCTTCTTCCCTGCTCTCTGAAAACAGGCTGTCCTATAAATCGGCAGTAAACCTCACCAGAGGCCTAGGAAACTGCCCTCACATTAGGTCTGGAAGGTTCTTGTAATGTTTTCTCAACTATTTTTCCTTCTAGAGAGCCATGCGGTGTCATCGCAGCCAGCTCCTCTGGTTCCGCCACATCTATATGCTTTTCTCGCGTTACATGGTCATCAATTCACTCCGCCTTCTGTAAAAGAGACGTCGCTCACAAATTCAGGAGTAAAAGAATAAGCGAAAAACAAAGACCATGCCAGGCCCAGGACTAAAGAAAATGCACCTGCTACGTGCTCAAGAGGGCAGGATCCTCTTTGTGTGACGTTCTTTCAGACTACAAAAACCAGGCTGTATGAACTTCCTTCTGAGTATCCTGTGGCCAATACATTGAGATGAACAGGGTTTAACAAGAAATTTGGATTAACCTAATTAAAGGTCTAATGCAGAACTCCTGCACAAACTACTTTTCCCCAAAGGGTATAGCTGCAAGGACTGCTTGGCATCTATCTCTTGGTGCTTTTGTAAAATCCAGGATAACCAGGAGTAACTTTTCAAAGATCTTGCTATCTCCACAGATAAAACCAGAACCACAAGACTTGTCTTATTCAACCAGAACTTTAAAAAGCCAAAGCTTATGAATAAAACACCAGAAATGATACAGATTTCTCTAATTGCGCTGATCTTTGCTGCCTCTTTCAAACACATTGTGTTGCAGGCTCCACCTTCGCAGAGTGTCCCTCATGAAACATGAGCATTTCTTCTTGCTTCAGAATGTGGGGCTTGAGATCAACTGACAAGCCACAACAGGATGTACGAATGAGGTGCAAGAGACCCAGGCTGTAACTAGGTCTTTTGTAGAACACATGCAGAGATAAAAATTATAAGAGATGTTTCAAAAGCTGTTCCACTTGTATAAAAGACAAGTGCAAGAGTTAAAGATCCTCTTCCTTTATGTTGAAAGGTAAGTGAAGCAGTGGTTTAATTTCTTAGCCTATACAGAGACTTTACTAGCGATTTGCATTTCTGTGGGGTCATGGTGGAGCACAGTCAGCAGCACTCAACGTTTCTGTAGGTCTTTGCACTCATTCGTGTGGGCTCACATCCACAGGAGGCGTCTGTCCTGGCTCTACCCAGCTCGTCATTGCATGGTCAAGATCAGAGCCCAGATTGCCAGATCCCGACCTGTTGCTGTGAGCACATCCTCCTCCTGAAGACAACAGATGAGTTCCTGGTTGTACTTAAGTGCGTGCCCGTTGTTGTCAGAGTCTGACAGTGTTGAACTCTGTTCCCTGGCCATGAGTCAGTGCCTAAGCATATGCCTGCTCAGAGTAAAGACCATGAGTAAGTCCAGGCTTAAGCAAAACAGTACTTAATCCCATGAATCACTTCAGTGGCCCCTCTTGCATACAGCTAAGCACCCGTGTAAATGCTTTACTGAACTTGAGCCTATGCTTTACTGAACTTGAGCCTGCTAAGCTCTTTCAAATCCCCTTTAACTTTAAATCCATGGTCAATTCATTGAAGTCAGTGGAGAAAAAAATGTGTAAATTAGTATTATGTCCTAAGCGAGAGATTATCTTATATAGGAGATTTTATAAGCCAGACTTGAAACACAAGAAATATCCATACAAGCAAAGACTTAGATTTTTTTGTACTTTGCTCTGTTTATTGTGATTTAAACTTTAGCACAGCTAAGGGCAAAGTACCAAAATAGCAGCCCTGGGGTGGTTTATGGGACAGAAGTAGTTGAAAACTGAAAGTCACAAATGACTGGGACAGGCAGCATAGAAGATTTATTTAAGAATCAGAGAACAGATAACAATAATGTAGAAATTGTTATCTGATTGTTAAAGTAGAGATTTTGCCAACCCTCACCCAGGAAAGCCCAGACTACAGTTCCACGTCCGTGCTCTAAGTTCAGCTGCTGGAAAGGGTGTGTCAGGGTTTTGACATGTCTCTGATGGTCTTATGTTCCTTCACGGCCTTCTCCCATTCCTTGCCGTTGATATCCTCTGTGACAATGGTCTGCACGGTGCCATCATCCAGACAATGGGGAGCTATTCCTGAAAAAAGACAGAGTACATAGAAACCTGCTCTTCGTAGATAAAGTGCAGGAGATGCCTGCACCACTCGGTGGATGGGGCATCTCAGGGGATGGCAAATGCTCGGTCCAGCTATTGCTGGGGAGCCTAGATGAGAAACCTGCCGTGGGCAGAGGCCCACACGTCATGGTAAGACTGTTTCTCACCGAGGAGCTACAGGTTAGACTGCAGTTCCAGGTGTTTAGCACTTTAGGAGCAAACTCTTCAGACGCCTGCTGCTCACTGCTCTGTTAGCCTCCAATGGAGTCTTTATCCAGGGTTTGCTTGGTGGTTAACTCTGGTTACCACAGCTTACTCTTTCTACCTACCATAGCCATCTGGATTAGAACGAGGAGTATAAAAGCTCTGTACACCACAGGTCTTGCAGAACGTGTGCTGGGCACAGTGTGTGTTGAAGGTGTACGTTGTCAAATTATCAGCACCCTAAGCAAATGAAAAGCACTGTAAGTTTTCCACATAAATTTCCACATTAATTACTTTCTGTGGGCCTGTAGCTAAGAAATGTAAAGTCTAAAATACCACTTTCATGTCTTTACTTGAGATAGAGAGCTCTGCGTTCATGCTCCTTTTCTGAACCCCTGTGCTTTGTACATACACGTGTCTGTAACAGGCAAGACCAGGAACTGCAGGAGCTCTAGTGTCAGCTCACTAAATAAGATGCACTAACACACCCACACCGGACGGCATAAAATTCAGCCGTTTTCCCCAACCAGCCATAGACAAACTTAGGATAGAAAACTGGCTGCCACTTGCATCTTTGAGGATTATACTGCTCTTGTTCATGGCCACGCTCTTACTGCATTCTTACTCTACCTTCAGCAGCTTGAAACGCGACGCTGGGACAATGAAGTGCCTGTTCTGTTTCTTTGTGCAAATGCTGCAACTGTAAAAGAAAAAGCAGCCTTTTCTAGAAGCAGCAGACAACTTGTAGTACAGCAGTCAGATCTAGCATGGACCTCTTGACAACAGAAATGCCAGCGACAGCTAAAATGGCTCCTGGTCACAGAGGTAAGCGACAAAAGCGGAGTCGTGGTATCAGTGGTGTTTGGCTAAGCACAGCCATGGAACAGACTGACCCTGCACAGGCACACCCATGAGGCATTCTCCTACACCAAACATTATATGCCATTTTTAATTCACATATACAGCTCTCAACAGACATAACAAGGACAAACTCTAGCCCTGTGAAATCCATTTAGTCTTTCAGACCAGACTTTGCCAATTTTGCCAACATTAATTACCTCATGAATGAGAAAGTAAGGTTCAGAAGTTTACCCATGAGCTGGAAGCAAACTAGTTGCAGGCAAAGGGGGATCGCTATTGAAATCAGTGTTGTAGTTTGAAGCACTTGTGGTCAGAGATGTAACGTTCAACTGAGAAGACCAACTTAAAAGAGGATTGATGTGCTAAGGGCACACTGCACTTAGGGGAAACCTAAAGCAGATGGCTGAGCACCTGGACTCATTAGGTCTCTCCTGACACTTTCTGCGTGAGCATGGATAGGAGACCTGAAGTCCTGCACAGAGAAGCAGCACCTGAAGTCACCAGCACTGATGCCATACTGGATCAGGACAGAATTAGGGGTATACCCGATGGAAACGGCGCAGAGGATGTTCTGCAGTTGTCGTCTTCTTTTAGCCCTAAGGTAAAAGCAACAAGCTTATATTCATCTATGAGAACAGGGAATAACAAAAAAACTCACTTGCAGTTAAAAACGTGCAGATCTGCTGAAGCCCAGACCTCAAAGCGGACGGCCCCGCAGTGACAGCCTCCTGTGTGTTTCACCAAACCTCTGTATTCACTGGAGAGAGAAACAACAGTGAGGTTTTGTGATCCTACTTCTTTTTTTTTGGCCAAGAAGACAGTAAGGCTACATACTGCATTATTCAGTTCTGCTTTGAGCAACTGCAGAACACCAGAAAATGTATCTGCTCAAATGTATTTTAATAAAACGTGCCAGAGCGAGGTAGAGAATGGCTTTTGTCCTCTGCAGAATTGCTTTTCTGGTTTAATTAAAATGGTGAAAAGGAAAGAGGAGCAACAGTTCAAGTAAAGTACACTCCGCATACCGTACAAAACATACGCTCCCCTGCCACAGTCCGGGTCAAAACGCTGACCTAGGTTACAGCATTATCTGTGCCCAACAGTACACAGAAACGAGTGGTATTCTCACAAGACAACCCCCTTGGAACTGGGAGCTGAATTTTCCCACAACTGCTCCAGCACTGCCAATATTCCTCCATTTAAAAGCTGGGAAAAACAGAGACAAGTCGACCCTACATACTATTTGAAACGCATTTTATTTTGTATTGTAATTGCAGAGGAACTTCATGATCAAGGCATTTCTGAGCTTGTGCTTCTCCCTCTCCCCTAGGAGGCCTCCACAGAGACCGGGCAGAATCACCGTGCAAGGTCAAACGCAAAACGCAAAGGAAAAACCTTTTCCTTTCAGATTTTCACTCCCACGGAGTTACCGATTACTGCCCGGTGACGATGTGCTGTGCTCTGGAAAGAGGGAGCACAGGAAATGGGTGGAGATTTAGAAGCTGAGCCTCCCTGGTACCCCACGGTGCCCCCAAGGGCATTGCTGACGGCAGAGCCCTAAAGCGCAGGAAGCTTCAGCACGAAAAGCCGCTGTCTGCGCGGTGCGTGCGGGGGACACCCATCACCCCCCGCAGCTCTGCAGAAGCCCGTGTTTATTGCTCCGCGAATGCTGCCAAGAGGACGAGGCTCTAACGGGGGAAGGAGCCGCCGGGCAGGGTGGATATAGCTCGGCTTCCGAGCTGCGGGAAGAGCCGCC